ACTATGGGTTCATAACTTGATACAGTAGAGGGATCCTTTTCCTGCTTCAAAATTGGAATTATAACAGCCTCCTTCCAGGAGGAGGGGATCACACCTGAAAACCATATGCGATTATAAAGAGAGAGGAGGGTTTCTTTAGTTTCGGAGGGGAGTTCCTTCAGCATCGCGTACATTACGTTGTCAGAACCTGGGGTAGATGTATTACAGCAGCTGAGTGCTGTTCGCAGTTCTGCTAAGCAGAATGGTGCATTCATTATATGCCTCATTTCTTGTGGATTTTCTTTCTAACTTTTGTTTTTCTATTCGTGCCTTGTAAATCTGGAAGGATTCGGAGTAGTGTGAGGAGCTCGATATGTGTTCGAAATGTGTGCCAAGAAAGTTGGCTTAATCCTCCAAGCTTTCCCCGAGGCTATTTACTAGTGGAAGGGAATACGTTTGTTGGCCCTTAATTTTCTTGACCTTATTACACACTTTTCCCTCATCTGTGTACAAGTTGATACTCAATATAAACTTCGTCCAGCTCTCTCGTCTAGCTTGTCGACGCGTTCTCCTTGCCTGCGATTTGACCCGCTTGAAATTTTCCAGATTTTCAGCTGTAGGAGAATCGCGAAGCAACGCCCATGCTTTGTTCTGAGTGGTCCGTGCTTTCCTGCATGTGTCGTTCCACCATGACTGGCCGTTTAGAAGACATGCCGCTCGTTTTGGCAATACATTTACATGCGGCATCAAGTATAAAAGCTGTAAAATACGTGACAGCGTCATCTATGGTCAGGGCAGACAGCTCAGTCCATGTCATATGTGTAAGAGTTTTATACCCTTCCCAATCAGCTGAGTCAATCTTCCATCAAGGAACCTGCAGGGGTAGTTGATCTTTGTTCGGCGCACTCAGGATGATTGGGAAGTGGTCACTACCATAAGGGTTTTTAAGAACGTTCCACTTAAAAACAGGTAAAAGGGACAGTGATGAAATGCTAAGATCTATGAAGGAGTACGTGTTGTTTGCAAGGCTAAAATACGTAGGCTCCTTTATATTGAAAAGACATAAACTAGAAGTGAAAAGGAGCTGCTCAATGAGACATCCTCGCGCATCACAGTGAGCATCGCCCCACAGGATATTGTGTGCATTAAAATCACCTAGAACCAGAAACGGCTCTGGGAGTTCATCTATTAACGATTCTAGATCACGTCTGTGTAGCTGTTGATGCGGTGGTATGTACACAGAACATATGGTAATGAGTTTGTTAAAAAGTACCACTCGAATGGCCACTGCCTCAAGGGCCGTTCGGAGCTTCGAATGCTGGCATACTATACTACGATCAGCTATAATGGCTACACCGCCAGATGGTACGACAGCATCCTCCCGGTCTTTTCGGTAAATAATATATTGTCGTACGAAGTCCTTGTGCTTAGGAGATGTAAGTGCGTTTCTTGCACACGTAGCACTTTCGCATTACACTTACTCAGAAGTTCTTCGACGTCATCTAAATTTCTAAGTATTCCCCTTACGTTCCACTGTATGATTTTGTCCATAGTGCAAAAAAAAGGGAAAAAGTGCTTTGTGCAGAAAAGACGGAGATTAGCTCATTTTACAGGGCCTTTGTCAGGCCCTGTAATCGGCGTTCTGTCATTTTTGGGGCGGTCGAGAGAAGCTCGCCGCTCCTTCGGCGCTTCTTGCGCCATTTGGCTTGAACTGGTGTTCATAGCCTCTTGCGAGGCACTGGACGCCCGCTCTAAAGAGCGATCTGTGCGTCGCTTAGACTTCGTCTCGATCGACGAAGTCTTTGTTCCCACCGAGCGGGGGGTTGATGAAGCCCCCTTGGCCTCGTGATTTCCCTGGCTTCTGCCAGAGCTTGTAGAGGTCACTGGTGTGGACAGGTGGAATGTGGGCAGGGCAGCGCTGGCTGCTCCTGCCGTAGGGGCTTGAGGCATTGGCCTCGGCACGCTAGGCACGGTCCGGGCAACTGCCAAGGGCCTTTGTGGTGCCGCCCCTCGTTGCACCACTTCGGTAAAAGGTGTTTTTAGTGCTAATGATAACAAGACCCGTTGTCTTGCTTCCGTGAATGTGATATTTTCCTTAACTTTGATAGTTATTATTTCTTTTTCTCTTTTCCAGGCTGGGCACACTCTGGAGTATGCGGGGTGACTACCTTCGCAGTTAGCACAGAGGACCTCGTCACGACTACATTCATCAGCACTGTGGCCGGTTGTGCCACACTTAGCACACATCAGCTGTCCTCGGCAGCTCTGGGATGCATGACCAAATCGTTGGCATTTGAAACAACGCCTCGGGTTTGGAATGAAGGGTCGGACATGGAGCTTTACATAGCCAGTTTCGAGAGTCTCAGGTAAAGTGGTTGAGTTGAAGGTGAGTATCAAGTGCTTTGTTGCTATTTCATTGTTGTTACGTCTGATTTTGATGCGCTGGACATGTATTACACCTTGGTCCTTCCATCCATCAAAGAGCTCTTCTTCAGTCAGTGTCATCAAATCTTCGTCCGATACCATGCCCTTCACTGTATTCATGGTACGATGTACGCTCACAGAGACGGGGATGTTAGCAAAGGCTACAAGGTGTGAGAGTTTATTGTACTGCTCTTTGTCTTTTAATTCGAGAAGCAGATCTCTACTTGCCATCATCGTGGCCTTATAACTGGTTCCAATGGTCTCTCTCAAGCACTTGGCAACAAGGAAGGATGAGATTGCTCTAGCTTTTGTAGATGATTGTTCGCAGTGGAGAACATGGTATTTTGGAAAAGTTTGTTTTTTGGCCAAAGTAGTAGAGTTGCGTCGGTGCGTACCCTTTTCGAGGCACGATCAGTTAGAGAGGGGGTCGAGAATCCCATGGGAAAATGTGGATTTTTCGGTAACGGCGCCTACCACCCACCACGGAGTCCAACGAGGGGACGTGGCAGAGCATGTGGGCATGTCTGCTCAACGCCAGCAGCACGCAGTTACTATAACCCGATATGGTTTACCATAGTTTGGATAGCCACACAAGGTGAACTCTTGCCGCCAGGAAAAACAGAAGTAAACGGAAGAGAGTAGAAGACAGGACAGATAAATAGTAAGAGATAAAGACGAAGATGTAGGGATAGAGAGATGGGAAAAGGCGACTGCCGATTTCCCCTGGGTGGGTCAGCCCAGGGGTGCCGTCTACGTGAAGCCGGGCCAAAGGGGTGTGTTGCCTCTGCCGGGGGGCCTTAAAGGTCCAATCACCCAGCGTCGGCTCAACCCCAAGGATCCCCTTTTTCCCGGACACGGCAAAGCCACGCACGGCTAGGCGTGGGAGGGAGTAGAAACTCCCCCGTTAGCCCGGGTCCATGGTGTCGCTACACACCAAACACCTACTTGCGCAGGCACCCCTGCGGGGTTATTGAAGTACAAGGTCATTGTTCTAGAAGTTGTTGGCTTGCGGTACACACTTATCGGTGCATGTAGCCCACATGATCACTCATGTGTTGTATGCTGGTCACTTCGCTTAATTCATCAACGTACTCAACGAAACAAGAAACGGTACAAAATATTGGCATTCCAAGGCCCACTGGTACATGATTACTTCAACAAACTAGAAACACCATTAAAAATATTGGAAGTTTTACACACCAAACCGCGATGTGATTATGAGGCCCATCGGAGAGAAATCTGAAAATTTCGACCCCTAGGTGTTTTTTTAAGGTGCAATGACATCACACAGTTCACGGTGCTATACCGTTTTACCTCCATCAAAATGTGACTGCTGCGGCCCGAATTCACACCTTTCGTGTCAACAGCCGCCAATCTCCATAGCCGCTGCACCATCGTGGCGGTACACCTACAGTGTTTCCACAGTCACCATAGTCCTCCATAAAAAAACGTAATAAATTTTTATTAGGGATTTTTAGGGCAGGGAGCTGTATACATATACGATCTCTCTAATGTCAGTCACCACATTTTTCAGGAGGTTTTCAGAGGGTTAGATTTCGAACAGCACGCGACAACAGTTAATGGAGAGTAGCTTAGTTGATTGTGATTCTCTGATGACATTTGCCATATTCAGTAAGTCGCGGAAACAATGGCGAATCATAATTACTAAATTAGACAGGGAAAGAAGAACCGTGGGTCCGAAAATATGATGAAGAAAACTGAAGTAATGTTTAACAGCTTTGGAATAAAACAGTGGTTTGCGATACTCATGCAAACAATATAGGTACTAAAAGAATATGCCTATTAAGGGAGGGTCATGATCGCAGACGCGGACAATGAGATTGAAGTAACCAGACGAATAAGAGTGTTGTGGTGTAATTTTGGCGATTATTCTTTGATAATGAATTGCAGTTTACCACCATCTTTCGAGCGAAAAAGGTTATAAAAAGCTGAATTCTACCGGTGCTTGCTTATACGGGAAGAAATATAAATGTTTGCGGTTAAGACGAAGAGCGTTGAATTTAAACTAAGTATGATGCTGCGGGCCATAAAAATAATTATGATAGGTGTAACCTTATCATGGGCAAGAAGACAACAGAGTGGGCGAGAGAACAGATGCAGGTTAAGGATTTATCTTAGTCAAAATCAAGAATGCTGCGAGAAAGCCAGACAACTGATGATCATTAAAAGGGACAGCATGGACTATAACAGAAGGCGAGCGCAAAAACGAGCTGCAAAAAGTTAAATGGGAAGGTGAGATTCAATGTGGCCGGTGTTAACGTGGGCGCAGTATGCACAAGACCGTGCTGATTTGAGAAAGATGGGACTGATGTGTACCCAAGAATCAGCATGGTCAAGTTGCTTATGATGGTGATGAAAACAACCACCCACTTATGAAACGAGAATGCGCAAGTTTGATTACATGATTGGTGCACAGTTGGAAATACTTTTTTATATTAACCCTATCGTTACTGCGACTAATAACGTGTTAGGAGGCCGATCAGGTTTTAGCCTTAGCTTTTTCGGGGAGTGTAACATGTGCTTAGCTCTCATTCATTCATTCATTCATTCATTCATTCATTCATTCATTCATTCATTCATTCATTACACACCAGTTGAAGTCCACTAGGCACCCTTTCGCTCCCGTTGCTCCCAAACATCTTGTTGGACCCATCAACTTTTTTGACCGGGATCACATATCCAAGCCGCACCTTAGGGACACAAAAAAAGATGGTCTTGCCAAGTCGCCAACAAGAACACTAGCACGCGACGAAAAGTTTCGTCCGGCTTGGCAATTCATGTCTGTCGAGCGATGAGAGCAAGCGTAGGCACGTCTGTGTAGTGAAACACGCTGGTCAAAATAGAGTGACGTCAGAGCCCATGGCTGGCACAGTGAGCAGTTCATTATGAAAGAAGTGGGGCGTGGTACGTAACACGGACTAGAGGAGAAAACGGGAACCAAGCGTACTCCTCTAGTCCGTATTACGTACCGCGCCCCACTTTTTTCATAATTCACTGTTACCAACTAGCCCAAATGGCTGTTTTGCTACAATTAGCAGGCCTGAAATAATCTAGATGGCATTGGTCGTTGTCATAGAATGAAGGAATGAATAGACAAATTAACAATTCATCTCGCCGGTTGTATCTTTGTTGCCGTTGAAGATGAAAGGTGGTAGGCCAAGCCACGTCTTAAACTTTTTTCATCTCTTTCTTTTCTTTCTAGCCGTGACGCTCCTATTGGCGCGAGATCAAAAAAAAAATAAATGACACGCGGTACAAAGCGTACTAAACACCTATATCCATGAAAGTTTGATCTGAAAACACGGAAGTGCACTTTAGTCTATCTAAGAAAATGAAACACACAAAAATAGGTTACCGAGGCAAAGACAGCGGCCAGCACCTGCATGACTGCGATGACGAAAATATAAAGAATGTTGAAAAAGCACCATGCGATCCATGGAAGTAGCCACCGGTAGCTGGCCTGCAAAAGAAACACCAGACGTAAGTTCCGTCGCCTATCTTAACCGTGCAGGATAGCTGTTAATGAGAAACATTATTTTGGCAGACTGCGCGCTCAATGAAGGCAGCGCTGACGTATCGGCGACTATTGTGGCCCTCAACACGTGGAAGCGGTCAACCTGGCCGCTCCCTATACTCTGCTTCACACATAAGGTGCAACGCTGTGGAAGCTATGCAAGACGTTCGGTCACTTATCCTTCGCACGTCTCGCTGTCGGTTCTTGTCGTTGTAAACGCATGCACATGCCAAGCACCAGTCTCATGACCAGCCTGCACATGACGCGTCATGGCCACCTGCTAAACAAACTGCCAGAAAAATGAAACAACACGCTAACCTGTTCAGCCGTTTAGTAGCAACAGCACAGTGGAGTTTGTTTCTTTGTAAGGTACAAAAGATTCTCTCCATACTGAACGTAAAAACAAAAAACATAACTTTTGCTAGTAACAACATTGAACCATTTCTTAATGCGGACGCATCGACTGTAAATTGTCTCGCTAGCCTCCACATCGTTGCACATGAGACTGAAATGGAGTATGGAGCTGTGGAGGTCACCGTATACAAGAGAGTTCAAACGAGAAACTTAGAAAATCGGTAGTTGATATTTGACAAGTTGACTGTTCAAGAACAGTGTAACGCTTGGTGAAACGCTAGCAATACTTTCCACCCCGGCGAGTCGCAAAAGCGAGAAACAGCAACAGTTCTTTTCCGGCCTACACAGAAGTGCAGTTTTAACGGGCTTAGATTGTACTTTCGCGGCGTTACTGATGCGGACGTTTTGACAATACTTGGCAAGCTTGAAATCAAGTAACTTTTTTTTTCTAACTCACGTGGGCACCGAGAACAGCCATGCTTGCTGCGATAAGTAGTCGTTGAGCTCGAAAGTAAGCATGCTGGTTTAATTATCGTCTACTACTGACATGCATTTCAAGGCGGTTCTTACAGACGCCTGCCGCAACAGGAAGTGTTTTCTGACTGCTTTTGGTCAATGACAAGTGTGATAGTATTTCAAATCAGTTTTGAAGTTCCTGCAAACACCGAATACTGCAGAATTACCGGCGACTACTAGATGAGGAACAAAGCACGCCCCATAATGGACGACCTAACCAGTGGAACACTGTGGAAAGAGCACGCCTAAACCGAAATTGAAGTGCGAACCAAAAGTGTTGACGCAAACGAAGTTGAAGATGTGTGCGCGCGAAAGGCAAGCATGAAGCGAGTGAGCCTTGGAACGTCGACTGGCAGAGCGTGCGTTGCCACATTGGGCCCATCAGATCAGCTGCGACGGGCCTGGCGTTTCTTGCGGAGAACGGGTGGTTCCCAGACCAGGCCTCGCGGCGCGTTTCTATGGTGAACGTGCGAGCGGGCCAGGACGAGCTGCTGATCTTCCTCTCCTCTGCTTCAAGCGTGCGTCGACTACGCGGTCATCGGCGTCGTGAGTGAAGTCCCCGTACGATAGTCACCGAATAAGTCAGGGCGTGTATAGATATTTGTAGGCTATGGGACTGTAAATATGGGGGGGGGGGCTAAGGGATCGTAACCGTGTTGTACTGTTCGGCCATGTACTGAATGTATGTGTATTTGTGTTTGAATCGTGTCGTGCATAAATCTTTTCTTTTCCTTCAATTTGTCTGTGTCCGAGAGATCATGAACCACCACAATGGGCGAGCCTGCCAAGAAGGCTAATTGAGATCTGAAGGCATACTCAGATACAGCCTTGTCTTGTATGGGGAATAATTTATTGCTTTTGGTTGACAGCTCGGGTTGAAGAATGAGGAGCTTAGGGAATGGGTTGAAAAAGCGTTTGTTGAAGCTCGCGATGAACGCGCTAAGAAACGCGACTTCTCGAAAGAAAATATTGAACGGCAGCAGAGAGCACAAGCACAAGAACGAAAGATCATGGACCTGAAGCTTCGATTTGAGGAAAGTACAGGCAGGCTACAGTTAACTGAGGCTGATGAACAAAGAGGATATAGCATGGGTAGTAGAAGTATTTCAGAGGTCTGCATTCCTCATAAATTGATTCTGCCCTTCAGTCAAGCTCGGGACGACCTCGATGCGTATCTGGAACAATTTGAACGGGTTGAAACGTCTTAATAACGGCCACGTTAGAAGTGGGCCCTTCCGCTTAGCCTATAGTATGACCGGAGAAGCACTAACCGTCATAGGCCAGTTGGATCCAACAGCTGCAATGAATTATGATCAGCTAAGAGCGGCGCTTCTTCAGATGTTGTGATATACCGTTGGGGGCTACCGGGAGAAGTTTCGCAAAGCCAAGCCAGAAAAGAACGAGAGCGGCCTGCAGTAGGCTGCCAAACTTTCCGGCTACTTTGACCGTTGGCTGGAGATGTAGAAAACGGAGAAATACTTCGACAGCTTGAGTGAACTCGTCATAAGTGAGCAGTTCATAAAGGGTTGTTCTCAGGCACCCGGGGTCTTTCTCGACGAAAAAAGTTGCAAGACGCTGAGTTTACTGTGTGAAACTGCCGATATCTTCACGGAAGCGCAGGCGCTGACTAGCCTAGAAAAAGAACATGTTCTCAAAGAACCAGGACCGTTGATGTTGAAGTTAGAGTCTGCGAAAAAGTCGAAAAAGCCCGCCAGTCACTATTTCCTGTGTATCAAGAGAGCACACCACGCAGTGGATGCCTGGTCTCGCACGAGAGGGAATACTTGCGGCTGATGTGGAGTAGGCCATAAAAGTGGTAACAACAGTGACAGATGCCTCAGCAAGAGTATTCAAAAGAACCAAGCATCAAGCATGCTGTCAGAGAATCGGGAAGCTTCGATACCTGAGAACAAACCAGTGCATGTTCTCCGTGACATTGGCTGTGATACGGTAGTGTTGCGACAGACATTAGTGTCGAAAAAAAACCGACTGGAACGTACCAGCCAGTATTGTTCCTGGTCCGCACGCTACACCACCTACCAGAAGCTGTAGTCTACCTCGATACGCCTTTCTTCAGGGGACAAGTTCGTGCACACTGTCTGCGTGATTCACTTTATGATGTTGTCCTTCGAACTATCAGAGGAGGCTCATCACTGGACACCTTGAGCATGATGGACCACAAGACGGGCAATTCCAGTCGATGCGTGGACATCGAGGAAGTGATGCTGAAGAAGTCAAAGGGTCGTCGGGGAAGGCGACGACATCAGATAACCGTGAGTGAAGCCGCCAAACGACCACGTGCACCAAGGCCCTGGCCCAGTGACAGCAGTGCTATGGTAGCAGACAGCGAAACCCTGATGACATGCGCGATGCGATGCCAAACAAGGGCACATCGAGATGGATCTTCACTGCTTTCGATCTTGCTATGGTAGAAATTTCGACCAGATGCGACGCGTTTCCACATTATAGTTGCCCTACAAGATGACACGAGGTCGTCTCAGAACCCAACGCCTGGGGTACCGCTACGCCGACGAGCCAGGCAGCCTGCCTACTTCGAGCGACGCAGAAGCGGCTGGTGCATCCAAAATCGGCTGGGGCTTCTTGGACTTCATAGCAATGGTGCGAGGGTCCTCTGTAATCCGGTGCACCAGTCACCATCGCTGCCTTGGCCAGTGCTGCAAACACCGCCTTTGCAGTGTCATTATCGACGACACAGGAGCAAGACGTACCAGCGACGTGACAATGCTTAGTGACGCCGACTAGCTGAAGAGTGGTGTAGTGTCGTCACTGTGACGAGACACTGTGTTGTTAATCTTGCTTTGTGTGCTGAGTGTTGGTGCGTGTTTTATTCGTACAGTGGGTAGTCTAAGTGGATCTGGTTGTTACGCATACATGCTATGCAGGTTTGTGGTCGTACGTGTCACTGCCGACCGTTTTCAAACGTACGAGTTGTGCGTTGACCTCTCGTGATAGTGTGTAAGCAGCAAGTTTTTCGCAGCGTTTAGTGACAAATGCTTACGATTTTGGCCCTTCTGCATGTGCCAGTGATTGTTCTGTTATTGTTGTATTTCATTGTGTCACGTCAACACTTAAGTTCTTCTTGACACAACGTACTGAAACTTCAGAGGAGTGTGGTAAAGCGTAGCACAACCAAAACTGACAGAGCGAGCCGAACATGTTGACGCAAACGAAGATGATGACGTGTGCACCCCACGTGACTTTGTTTACGTACGCCGCTCCGAGCTACAGTGTACTAGAAGGGGGCAGTGGAGTGAACGAGGCGGCCACGCCACATCTCGGCTGATTCTCCGGTGGTTGACAGTACCGGCGGCGCAGTTGTCCCATGGTACTGAAGATCTCAGGAGCGTCTGCATTGGGAGCACGCACGCCGTACCCTGTGAAAACGTATAATTGCTCGTTTTTAGCGCGTTTCTTGCCTTTCTGAGCCTTTATAAGTGGACTCACCTGCTACGCGCCATGGTGCACGAGTGAATATGCAGACACGCTGAAATTGCCTCGATACATTGACTGTTTCAAGGCTCTGCGGACCCACAAAAAAACAAAAAAGAAGAAACATGTGCAATTGGAATTCGCATGAATCTGCCTAGCTTCTAACTCAACTAGCACTTTGAGCTGCGCTATATCATAAGTGACTACTAGCGAACTTCGAAAAGAGGAGTAGTATTAAGACCGCGAATAAATCATATGGTCGTTTTGTTGGCAGTCCCTAGGATACCCAGAGCATTGTTAATTGTATGGGTTCACAAGAGCTGAATTGTTTCACGAGAAACCCGAGTATAAGTAACGTTGTTACAACATTTATATCAGTAAAGACTCAGTTTTATTATGCCAATTTCGCGGAAGATAATAATTATTGCTTTATGAAAGGCGGCCTATTGTATATTGAACATATTAAAAACAACACACAAACAAATTAAAAAGTGCCAGTTTGTATATATAGCCCGTCTATTAATTTGCGTAAATTCATTATACCCAGTTATCATTTTGTATTAACAGCTTAAATTGTGCTGCTTTCCAAATAATCAATTGGCGTAACGCCACAGCAAGCCACCAAA